CTTACCCATCAAAGTGCCATTTTTTTTTTCTTTCTTACCCATAAAATTGTTGCTATGGACTATTAATTAAAATAGTTTAAGACTCTTTTCATGCATATATTATAACTAGTCTAATAATGACTTGTAATTATATAAATAAAAATAAAAATCTATTTTTAAATATAAATTATTTATCAGAATGCGTGATTATCGAAGTGAGTCCAATGGTGATCCGTCGAGCTAAATTAAATGTGTCTAAAGTCTTCTCCATCAACTGGAGAGAAATTTGATCCTAATAAAATAACATTGAACTAAAAAATATGTGATAGATCTTTAGTGAAGGTTATTTATCATTTTAAATTTATCATAAATTAAAAGACGTAATTTATTAAATTCCTATGATCAAATATAATGAAATCATTAGTGGCTACCTTTTTTATTGCAACATAAAAATATTTCCAATAGAATAAACTGATGAAAAAATAAACATCATTATTGAGTTCAACTTGATATGCTTTTTCAATTATTTAAAAGATCATTTAAAACCATCTAATTTTACCAAAAATTAAATTCAATTGTGTTCTCATTTTATTTATTTTTTTCCTTTCTTTTTTTAGCAGTTGAGCATGCAACATTGGCAGGACAGGTTTGTTGGTTGTGGCTATAATCACTTAGGCGGCCACCCGTAACTACTATTTGTGGGGCAAGACTTTCATGTATTTTGTTATGCAATCGTTTGAAGAAAATGTTATCAGAATTTGTATATAATTTTCAAAATAACGTAATATTGGTATACTAGTATGTTGATAATATGGCTTCTAAGTTGTTAAATGAATGGACCATAATAAGTCCTATAACTCTCCGTAATATGTATAAACTTTCGGTTTGTATGTATAGCACTGCTTAAGCTATAATTGAAGTGTGTATTTAGGAAAACTTTATAAAATGGCCAAATCTAATTTTTGATATAAAAAAGTTAAAAATAAATAAATAAATAAAATTCATTCATAGTCTTTTAAGATCACCTTAGAAAAAATCAATATATTGCCTCTTTGGCCCGACAACTCCCTCTATCACCTCCCTCAACCGCCTCTTCTTCTTTAAATCTAGATTTGAAAACTAAAATTCTCTTTCTCTCTCTCTTCCTCATTGCGGGGTAGAGTTGGGGCCATTGGTGTTAAAATGCCGGTAAGGTGGCAAGGGCCTGTGGACGGTTGTAATAGTTATTGGTGAAGAGGATTGTAGTTGTGTAGGATTAGGGATAACATTGGTGTGGCTGATGAGGCGGTGGTGGTGGTTGGTGATGGCGGGCGGATGTGGAGAGCGATAGAGGGTGGTGGCTGACAATGGAGGTGGTTTGGAAGTAAGGTTTATATACTTCGTTCGTAATGGTAATTTGTCTAATAGGCCCAATCATAATTTTAAAAAAGAATGATGTATATTATAGAAGTTGTGGCGAGCAAATAGAAGAAGCTTTTCCTCAAGGGATTGACATTAAAGTTGAAATGGTTCATTCCTTTTTTATTTAATTATTTTGTCATTGTTTTATGTTTAATTTATTTGCAAATATTATTAATCGGACTAAACTGACATAATGCGAAAATTAAAAAAATAAAATCAATATAATTAGAATTATAAGGATCAAATTGATACAGAGTATAAATTATAAATATCACAAGTATAGTTTGCCCAAAAACAAATTGAGTATTTGACAGAGAAACTCAATCCTCATTTGTGGCCAAGTAGGAAATTGTCATTTACTTGATGGTGAGGGAAGAGATCATGAATTATTTGAATTCGGATCTTCTCTATCTCAAAATGATATGGTTTTGGCAAGGGGAAAGGGAAGGGGTATAGAGAAAATATTTTGTCTCAAATATATTATTTTGAGATATTACATAGTACATTACAGGAAATGTATTACAGATTATCTAGATTTATACAAATAATGTGAACATTTTAATTGGCATGAACTCAAAAATAAAATTATGTAACATTTTTTTTAAATATAAAAAATAAATTATTTTCTAAATATTCATGTCTCCACTAATTATAGGGGTAAAAAAGAAAAAAAAAATCAACAATTTATCCTTGCTAATTACTTCAATTTTTAAAATATGCACCCTATCACTCTCTTTTTTTTTTCGTTTTGGGACAATTATAAAAAAAATTCAAGAGTTTGATAATTGTAATGAAATAAATCTTAAATTTTTAATGTTATCAATTTAAATTTTAATCCATTGATTTATTTTCAATTTAAGTTATTTATTTATTTTCATTAAAATCGACAGAAAAAGTATATTTTAGCTATTAAGCCCAATAAAATATACATAAAATATTATGTTTTATTAAGTTTAATGACACAAATTACTACAAAAAATTAACGTTTTAGAGATCAAAATTTAGGAACAAAATTATTTTTTACGGATCAAATATTTTTGTTGCAAAAAGTGTCATTAATATATTTTTAGCAACGAAAATTAGACATTAATGATGAATTATTATCTTTTTGGGACCAAATTTTTTGTTTCAAAAAATAAATCATTTTGAGACCAAATTATTTTTCCTTAAAAGTGTAGTTATTAGTGACATTTCAAAATTTTGTCACTAAAAGTCTTATTTTAACTTTTCGGGACGACCTCTTAGCGACTATCCTTACGACGTTAGAAATTGGTTCTTAAATGTCTTTTACAACAAAATTTTTACTTTTAGAGACCAAAATATTTAGTCTCTAAAACTTTTATATGTTGTAGTGCATATTGGGCCTCCTATCTATCATGATTACAGTGACATTAGTGATTTTTACTACAGTAACATATGGGTGATTCTGTTTGCACTCAAATAATTTAAAAGTTTAGTTCCTATATTATACCCTAATGTAAATTTACTAATAAAGACAATCCACATTGAACTTTAAAATAATTATTTTTTTTTTCTTTTCATGATACACCCATAGGTGTTCTTCATATTCAACTTTCTTTATCTTCTTCCCAAAATTTCAATTATCTTCTCTTCATCTTTTTCTCCACTCCAAAACTCAAATTTACCCTACCAAAACTTTAAGATCAGTTTAATGGTTTTCCTTAAATTGATTATATTTTTTTATCTTCTTCATCTCTTTCGATTATATTTTTGCCTCTGTGCCTCTGTTTCACTTCTTTATTTTTGCATATTTCTAGGAAGTCCCTCTTTTCTCTATTTCATTTCTTTTCACCCAGCTCAAGAAATCCCCAGTACAAGAATAAATTGAAACATCAATGGCTACAAGTCATAACATAAAAGAAAATACAATAAATTACCTCTCCAGATAACTGAAAATGATCAATTAAAACAAGCATAAAAAGGGTTTTTAAAAGAGTTTTTCAAAGTGGTGTAATTTAGGGTTTGATTTATTTATTATTTGGGTATATCTTGAGGCGTAATTTTAGAAGAAAAAAAAAGGGTGTACTGAGAGCAAATTATAATCCTAAATAATTTAATAGGGTGTATTGAGAAGTTGGGCATACTTAATAATTTTTTGAGTATAAATAGAATCCCCCGTAACATATGAACATATTTCCACCATCTAAAGCTAACATTAAAACAAAATAGCAACAAAGTTTTTTTTTTTTTTTTGGTGAATTACATTAATGCTCCTTATAGTTTGGGATTTATACTATTTAGATCCTTAATCTTTTAATTGTAATACATTTAATTATAAATTTTGAATCTCATTTCGAATAAGGACAGTTGAAAATATCATTTACTTTGCAAACGGAAAATATTCCATTTTAAGGGCAAAATCGTCAATTTAATAAAATATAAATTAGTTCGATAAAAATGAATGTCAAAAAATTATTTTTAAATTTTTAAAAATTATTTCTATTCTCCAAAAGGATAAAATTATATAAAAATGATAAATCACAATGCTCAAATAATACACATTAATGTGTGTTTGAGAGAAAAAAGATTGAGTACACATCTAACCTTTGGTATAGTGCACAAAGTGGTTGCCCTGAGATTTGAATCCATAACCTCAAGATTATTAGGCCAATATTTTATCATTGAACCAATACACACCTCTATATAAACATGATAAATCTTTTATATTTTTATTTTTTTATCAAATTAATTTTTAGTATGTGTTTGGATGATGATCATATAATTGGTGATTGTTTTGTTGATATTTTTTAATGGTTATCATCTAATAGATAGTTGTTTTTGTTATTAATAAATATTTTTGAATGGTTATTACGCAGTGGATGGTTATTAGACTTTTGATGTGTAATCGATATGTTTAATGGCCCTGTTTGGTAGAGCTGTGGGAAAGTGCTTATAGCTTATGCCTAAACAGCTTATAACTTATAACTATGAACATAAGCAAATTTCTGACTTATAAATTAAGCATCTCCTGCCTCACTCAAAGAATAAGCTGATTTCTGATTTCCAAAAAGCTATAAGTTATAAGTTAAACCAAACACATCAAAATAGCTTAAATTAAGCTGAAAGTTGAAATAAGCTGCTTTTAAGTTCTGCCAAACAGGCACAATATATGAAATGTTTCTAGTTTTGAATTTTTTAGTTTACATAGTGATTTAATAAGATATCAAAGTTGTCACCATGTTTGACATTTGAAAAAATAGAAATTAATTTAATTAAAATAAATATATAAAAAAAATTATTTAAAAAATTATTTCTACCCTCCCAAAAGATAATATTATATAAAGATGATGTGTTTTAAATTTCTTTTCACAAATTTAATTTTTAACTTTTAATTTTTTAGAAAAAATTTCTGAAAATAGATTCTGAAAACAAAACAAAATAGAACTTTATAACCAAAAAAAATGTCAACATTATTCATTAAAAAAGATATCATTACATTTCAAATAATATATAAGTTAACTAATACAAAATAAGTTGGATGACGACTTTACTCTTGAAATTGACCATTTGCAAAGGAAATATTTTTTATTGTCATTATTTAGAACAAAATTCAAAATTTAGAGTTGAAATCAAAGACTAAAGACGGTAAAGAAAATCATAATAAAAGATCATGATTGCTCGGAGTCCATACCCATACCAGAAAAAAAACTCATCTCAAATAAGAAATATGCATGTTATATTTGAATTATCGATTTGGGTATGAATTTAAAACAAAAAAAATAAACAGTGAGAGAAATAGAAATGAAATATCTAATTCTCTCACATTTTTATTTATTTAAATTCTTACCCAAACATACGATTCAAACGCAGCTTATGAAGTGGGGGAAAATCAGTGAAGAACTTGCCAGAGTATTGGGCTTTAAGTAAACGCCAGCGTAGAGCAGATCGCAGAGCTTGTGAGGGCAAGACATGTCAATTTCCATATTTGCATCTTTCAAAATGGATAAGAAACTAAGTGGAGGCCTTGTTCTTCCTCCTTTTCTTGCTGCAATTTCCTTTTCCTTTCCCTTTTTCGTTTCCTTCGCTGATGATGAGTCTGTCTTATTACTACAGCTTTGTTCAACTTGTTTGATCTCTGAACTCCCATCAGATTCCATCCTAGCCACCATCAAAAAATTGAGAAAACTATAGTAAAACAAAAACCAAAAAAACAACAACAACAAAAGCTCAATCAAATCATACGAATGTTATTAATAAGAACAACAACATACAGTCTCATCTGGTTCATGATGTTTAGGATGGCATGGTGGATTTGCATCAAACGCACTCACAGTAGGATCCATAACTAAGTATTTGCCGCATCAATACATAGCTCAGGCGCCTAGAAAAATGGGTCAAGTTTGGCGTGCTGTCTAGCATTTTCTCAAATATTTTGCAACTAAAGTAGGTGGTCTAGCAGTTGATGGGTGCTGCTAATGCCCTCTGTCATTGATTTTTTTATTGTTAATAAAATAGCGATACAGGATCATTAATATTATCATTTAATTTTTTTTATTATGTATAACTTTATTATTTGATGGGATTGTTTAGGAGGCCCAACTCATGGCCCAGAAAAGTCCAATCCACCATTGTCTTAAACTTCCCAAACAATCACATGGATAAAGCCTAACAACAGGCCCGATGAGGAGCAGGAGCAGCTGGTTCTGGTCAAGGCCTGGTAGCATTTGGGCACGTCAGGGAGGGGGTTAGCCACATGACAGATAAAAATCCTGTAAAGTTATTGCCATCACACATCAAGTATTAAATGCAATAAGACCTCTCGCTGCAGAAGGGGGGCGAGAAGGCCATGACCGGCGACAAGTAAGTGGAAAGCTTTCGATCAATGAGACAATATGAATGGACAAAAAAATGATTAACAGTGGATATAAAGAAGCCAAGACGAAACACAAGGAGGTAACTCTCTCTTTCTCTCTCTCAACCTCCAACTTTCTTTAAGTTGCTACCTAGATCACGTTTGTTCTAACAGGATTGTCGGAGGATCCACAAGAAAGAACCACCCCCATTTTGATACCTTCCCATTGGACTTCTTGTAGGTCAAGTAGAAGGAATCAAGGATCCTTTGCTCATGAAGCACTTAAATTAGTCCAATCCGTCCTCAGCGGATCGAATTGCACTATCACTATTAGTTAGTATTATTCCGTTTATGATGTCATCGTGATCCTGAATTTGTATTCCTTGTCATCAGTTTGAAACTAGCCACCTCCAATTCGCTAATGATTCCCTGAGCTGACAACTTTGATTCCTTTGATTACTTTTTAAGAGTTAACTTTTTTTATTCTCTTGGCATGCAAAATGTTAAATCTTTTCCTCGAAGGTCATTAGATTTTGGCTTTTTTCCTTGGAGGTAGGCCTGTCAACGGATCGGGTATAACCCGAATCCGATCCGAATCTGATCCGATTAATCCGGTCCATTTATGCAAATCCGAATCTGCATGTGGATAGGCCTGTCAACGGATCGGGTATAACCCGAATCCGATCCGAATCCGATCCGATTAATCCGGTCCATTTATGCAAATCCGAATCCAAATATCTGTTTAACCCGTATCTGTGTAGCCCGATTTTAAACGGGTCGGACTCGGATAAATCCGATCCAATCCGTTTGTTTGCCTAATCCGATTCCATTGAAATAAGATCTCTCATAAACAGATCTCTCTCATCGTCTGAAAAGTGCGTTCTATTGTTGAAGTTCATCGTCTGAAGATCAAATCTCTATCTCATCGTCTGAAAATGCTCCGATTGATGAACTGTAAGAGATCATCTCTCTGCTCCTTTTTATTTTTTATTTTTTTTGTTCGCTCAATTTCAAAGAACGAAGTCCAAATCTTGTCAAATCGGAGCTACGAACTGTAAGAGATCATCTCTCTGCTCCTTTTTATTTTTTATTTTTTTTGTTGGGTCTCTGTCCCGTATCAGATCTGTTTTTGTTGCCGATCTGATTCTTACCCGTATCAGATCTGATTCTTGGTTTAAAGTTGTATATATCAGATCTGATCCTATTGCTCTGTCAATGAGAGTTGGGTTTTGTTAATGAGAGCTGGGTTTTGTTACAATATTGAACAAGATCAAAGGAGACCGTGAATTTATTGTTTCTTTTTATTGATTTGAGAGTTGGGTTTTGTTAATGAGAGCTGGGTTTTGTTACAATATTGAACAAGATCAAAGGAGACCGTGAATTTATTGTTTCTTTTTATTGATTTGAGAGTTGGGTTTTGTTAATGAGAGCTGGGTTTTGTTACAATATTGAACAAGATCAAAGGAGACCGTGAATTTATTGTTTCTTTTTATTGATTTGAGAGTTGGGTTTTGTTAATGAGAGCTGGGTTTTGTTACAATATTGAACAAGATCAAAGGAGACCGTGAATTTATTGTTTCTTTTTATTGATTTGAGAGTTGGGTTTTGTTATTTTCATCAGTATGATATAAAGATTCATACAAGTAGTTTTTTTTCAATTGATTGTATCTTGACGAATATTCAATCTTTCTTGTTTCTATATCTGGATAAATCTGTTCCAATATTCTCTGTTCTCTCTTTTCCTATTCTTTTTTAAACCAGTAAAGAATTTTCGTTTCTCTCTAGCTTAACCAAACAAAAGGGAAGGAAAACACATTCTTTTTTTCTTTTAAACTCTAATTATAATGTTATAGATGCAATTTTTAATGCTATTTTAGCACACAGTATACTACACTGTTAGAGTGTGTTCTTTATGATGTGTTGTACTATTTTAGCACTACTACTCCTAAACACTAAACTACTGTGGAGTTGCTCTTACACCTCTTCAATTCTATGTAGGGCTTCTATTTCTCTAGGACTAATGTTCAATTGTATTAAAGTATGAACTTGCCATGTTCATGATATACTAAATATCAGTTAGATTGGAGGCTAGTGGCTCTTCCATACATACATTGTTCCAATTCAAGTCGTTAGAAGGCTAACTTCAAGTGTCTGTTCTTTAATAACTATGATATATATATATATATTGATTAGTAAAATCTATGAAATATTTTAATCACATTAGAACAATTTTGGAAGTAATAAATCTAAAAAATTTACTAATAATTAGAGGGCTACTAGAAAATAATAGAAAGTTATTATTGTGGTGTTCTTTTTTCCAAATAGAAATTGGGTTGTAGATGACATGATATGTCACTGAATAGAAGAGTTTAATGATGCTGATTACTTGATTCATATCTGTAAATAAAGATTTCAAAAAAAAGAATGGAAGCAAAATTTATTATTCCAATATTGCATGGGGAATGTCCTCGGGTCCTTTGAAACTTTTGAACAATTAAATCTACACTCTGCTATGAAATTTATAAGATTGTTATTATAAGCCAAGTTTTATGCCAGATTCATATAGGCATTTCTGTTGTCAGGCATTGTTATTGATGGCATTTATTTGATGCATGCATTTAGTGACTGATCTATGATTCTAACCAGCTTTGCTACTGTAGTTTATATGATTATCTCAATTATCTGATTTGTACTATAGACCCTAAGAGCATGCACTGTTCAATTTAGTTACTTTTTAATTGTGTGACTATTTTTATGAACCGATGCTATGTAAATCAGGATTTATTCAGGAGGGCCATACTGGAGTCAGGGCCACCAGAAAATTTTGCTCTCAAGACTGTCCAAGAAATTATTAAACCTCAGGTAGTTGCTGAACACCCCCACTTCTTCCTCATTGTTGCTCATTGCAACATAAATTAGCTCCTGCCCTTTATATTGCTAAATACAGTGATGGCTATGCTTTTGTATATTATAATTAGAATTAGAATGTCTTAATTTGAGGATAAACTGTGAAACCTTTATATATATATAAGAAGATCTTTGTTTCCTTGAAAGATTGAATAGTACGTGAAAGAGTTTACCCAATTTGCTATGGCAATAAGCCTGTTTACTCTCTTTTCTTGGTGGTAACCTGTGTCTACTCTGGATTAAGAACCATAGTTTACTTCTTCATAATGACCACCCAAAAAAAGAAAAACAAGAAAAAAACAGAGAAGTAAATAAAGGGGGACTTACGTGTATGTCCTACTAGGTGGACTCATTGTCCAATATGTCCTATAATTAATGCCATTTTTCATTAAACACTATAAAAAACGTCACTATTTGTTAATTTTCGGCGACAATATAAAAATTGTCACATTACAATCTCTTTGTTTCCTTGAAAGATTGAATAGTACGTGAAAGAGTTTACCCAATTTGCTATGGCAATAAGCCTGTTTACTCTCTTTTCTTGGTGGTAACCTGTGTTTACTCTGGATTGAATACTTGGAGGAGTTGGTGTTTCCAAGTAATGAGAGCTTCAATATACAAGAAAAAAACAGAGAAGTAAATAAAGGGGGACTTACGTGTATGTCCTACTAGGTGGACTCATTGTCCAATATGTCCTATAATTAATGCCATTTTTCATTAAACACTATAAAAAAACGTCACTATTTGTTAATTTTCGGCGACAATATAAAAATTGTCACAAAAAATGTCATTAACTATAAGTTTTAGTGACAGTTTAAAAAAACATCACAAAAAAATCACTAAGTCACAAATCTATATAATTTCCAAATTGGTGCACACTATTTTTAAATGAACTCCTGCTCCTTTATGTTTGATTTCTTGTGTAGTGCATATTTGAGTTTTAGAGCCAAAGATGTCTTCGGATTATAGCGAACCTATTACTGCTGATGATGCCGAGTTGGATGACGATGTATCTCAAGGACCCACAAAGAGGATTCGAAAACTAACTTCAAAGGTATGGGATGACTTTGTCAAATTTAAAGGATCTAATGGAAATGACATAGCTAGATGTAAGCATTGCAATAGGGAATTTGTTGGAGAGAGTAGGAAAGGGACTAGTCATTTAAAAAATCATTTGTCGAAGACATGTCCAGTACTTAAAGGGCCAAATGCCCCTAGGATTGCTAGTAAGGCTGCTTCTGAATCTACTCCTAAGGCTGCAAATTTTAAATTCGATCAATAGAGAAGTCGTATGGATTTTTATAGGATGGTAATCAAGCACAATTATCCTTTTAACATGGTTGAGCATGAATTTTTTGAAATATTTTGTAATAATCTTCAACCAATGTTCAAACTTGTTTCTCGTAACACTGTTAGGGCGGATGTCCTTGATGTTTATGAAATAGAAAAGGCCAAGTTAAATCAATTTTTGGATGAACTCTCTTCTAAGATCACCTTCACAACTGATATATGGACTTCAGACCATCAGAATTTTGCCTATACATGTTTGACTGCTCATTATGTGACTAATGATTGGGAGTTGAAGAAGAAAATCCTTGCTTATAGACGCATTGATTACCCGCATGATGGAGACCATTTGTTTAGTTTTATCAAAGATCTAATTTTAGAGTGGAACATAGATAAGAAGTTATTTTCAATGGTAGTCGATAATGCAACGAGTAATGATGTCATGGTGAGACTCTTAAAGCGATGGCTACATGACCAAGGATTACTGCATTTGGGTGGACAATTGTTTCATGTGCGTTGTAGCGTACACATATTGAATTTAGTTGTTCAGGATGGTTTGAAGGTGATTGGTAGTCTTGTTTCAAAAATCCGAGAAAGTGTGAGATATTTAGGGAGGTCTCCTTATGGAAAACAAAAATTTGATGTTGCAGTGAATCATGTTAAGTTACATCATAAAAAGAAAGTCCCCATGGATGTTCCTACTAGATGGAACTCCACTTATTCAATGCTTGAAGCTGCATTAGATTTGAAAAGTGCATTCCACCGCTTAGGGCAAATTGACAAACAATATAAGCACAATCCTTCTGAGGATGAGTGGAATGTAGCAAATGTGATTTGTGGGTGCTTGAAGATTTTTTTTGATGCTACATCTCACTTTAGTGGTACCACTTTTCCGACTTCAAATGTGTTTTTTCCCGATATTTGTCTTATTCAACTTGAAATGAAAAAATGGGAGCAAAGTGAGTATGATTGCATTCGATTGATGGCCGGTCCAATGAGAGTGAAATTTCAAAAATATTGGGAAGAATGTTCTTTGGTGTTAGCAATTGCAGTGGTTCTTGATCCGAGATTTAAAATGGACTTGGTGGAATACTACTTTGGGCTTATTTATGGTGTTGATGCTAATAAGCATATTCAGAGGGTCCGTAATGGTTTTGTTGATCTTTTTTATGAGTATAGGAGTGATTCTTCTGATTCTATGAGTAGCATTGCACTTGTTTCTGAAAATAGTAGCTTAAGTGGTAGTCAGTTGCTTGTCGGTTCTTCGAAACAAGAAAGTTTGGCTGCTTTTCATGCGTGGTATGCCCAAGAACGTGCTTCTAACATTCATGCCTATCAAAAATCAGAGGTGGAGCAATACTTGGAGGAGTTGGTGTTTCCAAGTAATGAGAGCTTCAATATTCTACATTGGTGGAAAGTGAATAAAGCATAATTTCCTACTTTGGCAAGGATAGCTCGTGATGTTTTAAGTGTTCCTGCTACTACGGTTGCATCAGAGGCGGCGTTTAGTGTAGGAGGTAGGGTGATTGATGAGACACGTGCTTCATTACTTCCAGATATTGTGGAGGCCTTGATCACTTGCAATGATTGGATTGAATCAACCAAAAATAGAAGTAAGTGAAATATTGAAATTTTTAAATAATTAGATGTTATTTAGTTTAGTTCTATGAATATCTTAATGTCACATTATTTTCAAATTGCAGATGTAGAAGAATGCAGACATAAGTAGATGGATTGAATTGAATCGAATCACTTGAAGTAGATGGGTAAATATGGTTCAGATTATGGGGCTTGTCCCATGCCTTTATAGTGATCTATGAAATTCGTATCTGACATAATTTGATAATCTGTTTGCATATTAAGGTAATAGCTTTCTTGATTTGTAGGTTTGATAATGAGCTTAACAAAGTGGTTGCTATTAAAGTTATTGACTTGGAAGAATCGTGAGTATATAGCTTTAATTATCTCTTACTAGAACTGCTTGTGGTGAAATGTGGTTACATAACTTTTCTTCTTGGAGCTTGATATTCTTGGATTGAACTGTGAATAAGTATTGGATGAGTGGCAAATTGATTGAGAATTTTAGAGGCCTATAAATTTGTAGGATTAATTATTGTTATCAAGATTTACATTGAAAAGTTTTTATGTTGAAAACAAGTCTATAAATTTGGATTAGCTTTCAAGCAATGTGCAATTTTTGTCTATAAATGGATAGTATACTTCTGCAGAGGTTTAAATATTAATAGTGTTTATGTGAACTGCTCTGGTTATTGGTACTTTTTACAATTACCATGTACATGTGTTGGATCGTCTGAATATATATTCTCCGTGATGCATCTCTTTAATCTTGTCGAAGATGTGGGCTCTGGCTTGGTACATAATTAGATTTTGTGGTTCTCTTTCAGTATGTATTTAGTAAAACAGACAATAAGAAAAAGAAGAATCATAGACTCTCTGAGCTTGAAAATGTGTTTGCTTCATCCTTTCTTTAGTTGTAAAATATTTTGTTAAGATGGTAGAGGGTTATGCTGATTTTGCCTACTTCCAAATCTATTGGGTGCCTGCATATTGAAGGTACAAGAGTCAAAATCTATACCATATGAGACCCCATTTCAGTCGATTTCCTGTGATTTTGAAATGGAGTTATTTTTGTTATGCTTGGGTTCGAGTCTTACTGCTATGCAGCTTTCCCATTTCTATTCCCCTCCTACCAATTGTCAAAAAATATAAATATATATATATATATATATAACAAAATAAGTCTCCTCCCTGATCGGTGACTTTACTTGGGTCCACTGCTCTTTATCAACAAAATTGTTTTCATTATTGTTTTTATCTTCTCTTACACTTGCTGATACATTGATAAAATTACTTCTGCAGATGTTTTGGTGGCTGATGTTATCGTAGTAGAAGCAAAGAACAAGAGAAGATACTGAAGAACTAATAGAGAAGACCAAAAAAGTTTTTCTTTGTTGTTACTTCATGCTACATTGTGAAAGCCCTCATTTATGTATTTTTGATTGTATCACAAGGGGAGAAATTGTGATGTTTTGTTTTTTTTTTTGTCAATGATGGAATTATTCTTTTTGAGTTGGATATGATTGGTGATAGTGAAACTGAATCACATCACCGTTTAATTTGCAACCAAGTGATTGGTTTGTTGCTTTGTATTGATGCTCCATTGTCTCTCAAAACCTGGTGGCATCTTTTGAGTTGTTTTTACACCATGAATGCAATAGTGACTTTTGTACTCTATCTGGGATATGATCAGGTTGAGTTATTGAGCTGGGTTAGGCTTGTAAGCTTTGAATTAGACTGCTCAACTTAGTATTGTTTGATTTGATTTGTATGTTCAAAATCCGAGAACATATGTTTAGCATGTGTAATGAAATAGACTTGTTTCCAATTTTGATGTTGCTAGTCAAACATGCTAGATATCTTTCAATTTCACTTTTAGTTTGCTGGAATTGAATATTTTTTTTAAAAAGTTTTTCTTTGTTGTTACTTCATGCTACATTGTGAAAGCCCTCATTTATGTATTTTTGATTGTATCACAAGGGGAGAAATTGTGATGTTTTGTTTTGGAAAGATGCTTTGAAATGATGTTATGTTTTGCATTGGTGATGATTTGCCTAAATGTTTTGCCTTAGGAAAGTCAGAACATCAAGATGAACTTTTCATTATAAAAAGCTGCTATGTTTTTTTTATAATTGGTATTTTCTTGACTTTATGGCTGGCTTAAAAAAAAAAAAAACAGATCGGATCGGATTATTCGGATCGGATATCCGTGTAAAACGGATCGAATCGGATCACGTATAATCGGATTTTCAATAATCAGATTCGGATTCGGAATCGGATTAATAGTTAATCGGATCGGATCGGATTTTGGCAGATCCGACCCGGATCCGACCCGTTGACAGGCCTACTCTACGCATATTGAATATGCATCCCTACATAGACTAAGGTCTCGTTTGGCAAATGATGATTTTAGTCAAAAAGTCAAAAAGTCACTAAAAAAATCAAAAAACCAACAACTTATACCAAAAGTCAAAGATTCCCCTTTTCTCTCTACTTATTGCACATCTTTTCGTAAAAAAATCAAAAACTCATACCAAACATACTAGTTTTTTTTATATCATATTTTAACCAAAAAGTCAAAAAATTACTAAAAAGCCTTTTCCCAAACGAGGCTTAAACATGCGCCCCACACAGATTAGAATTGCACCCTTACACAAATTCAACTTGCACCCTTCATGGATTTAATTGCACCTTACACAGACTAAGCTTGCACTCCCATATAGATTTGCCTTGCACGCCAACACAGACTAGACTTGCACAACTACAAAGATTTGACTTCACACCACATAGACTAAACTTGCACCCTCACATAGATTCGACTTGCATGCTAACACAGACTAGACTTGCACCACTACATAGGTTTAACTTGGACACCACACATACTAAACTTGCACCTACACATAATGAACATGTACCCCCCACACATAATGGTCTTGCACCCTACAAAGTACTTTAAAAAATATATATACATCTGAGTTATTTATAAATGAAAAATATATTACAAAAATATTTCTAATATTTTATATTATTTTTTTAAATTAATTTTTAAATAAAAAATATTATTTTATCTGCGAAGAAAAAACGTAGAGATTAATAAAAATATTAACTCAAATTATACAATTAATATAAAAATATTATTCAAACATACAAATATTATTTTCGTTAAAAACAACCATTGCGGGCAAGACCAATGTGATCGCGGGTGCAACTTGCCTTACTACGGTCGCGACCTATTTACATTGGGCGAGTTTTTTTTATTGTGTGGGGCACTTTGTGATGTTATTTCTTACCTATTTTTGCACCAAATGCATGCTTACTCATCCTCCATTGACTAGTGCTTGAGCCAACGAGGATAATGCTCCATTTTAGTGCCCCATTAGCTCCATTACCTTCTCTAAATGATCCACTTTGTCTTCCACCATTGCTCCACTAGCATTGCCTATATAATGAGAGCTATAGTCTTGAGTTTGAGGAGATGAATTAGAAGAGAAGTGTAGAGAGAATACTAAATTTGAGTTAGAATTTGAGAGAAAAAAAAAATCCTTGAAAGCAAGAGAGTTGTCTTTCCAAATTAGTAAAGTTATAAAGCCTCTATACATCTCATATTTCCTTGCAAACACCACTCAAGAACCAAGTCCTAAAGCTTTGACCAAAGTGAGAGTAGTCTTGCTAGTTGAGGAAGATTAAACCGTGATCATACACTTGTCCAAAACATTATTCTAAGCTCAAATTCCAAGCTCTTGAATTGAGGATTGAGATCAAAATTCATAACATTGAGGGTGATCAAGATGAAGTTTGGAAATCGAGAAGTTCAATCTTTCTCTGGAAGGTGAATTTCAAGTCTTTCATTTTCTTTATATTTTCTATTTCATAATTATTTTCTTACTTTCGATTTCATAGTATTTTGTTGTAATCTAATTGGAAGTGGTTAGTTTAGTTCATATTTATTTTCTTACTTCATATTTTAAAGCGTTTTGTTGTGTAATCCAAGTGGTTAGTTTAGCTCGTATTTATTTTTTTACTTTTTATTTCATAGTGTTTTGTTGTAATCTACGTATTTAGTTTAGCTCATATTTATTTTCTTGCTCTTGTTTCATATTGTTTTGTTGTAATCTAACTGGAAGCGGTTAGTTTTCAATTCTTTCATTTTCTTGCATTTTCAATCTTATAGTCATTTTCTTGCTTTAAGTTGTAAATTAGTTTTGTTGTAAGCTAGCCGGAAGTGGTTAGTTGAGTTGCCTACATATTTCTTGTTTGTCCTTTTCTCGGTATTGCAACAAGACAGGTTTTGCTAAGCCTAGGCCAGACGGTTAACTTCTTTTTGATAAAACGGCGTAATCTTTCGATGTTGACCAATTTTCGGTGGTTTTCAAGACGCATGAAACTTCTATTTTGTTTTTTTTATATTTGAGTGTTTTGTAAGGTTTTTATTTTGTTGTAATATTTTCCTCATTTCTCTCTAATTTGGTTTGTAATTATTCTTTCAAGTGTTGTAATAATTCTCCGCTTCGCTTCTTTCTATCCTATTCTTTTACTTGTTTTCCTTATTTGTTCATAAGCATCATAATTTTTTTTTTAATCATATCCATGCTTTGCATCCATGTTTCATGCACCTTAATTCAGCTAAGTTTGCATTTGTGGTTTTAATCAATTCCTATGTGATTATGTGCGCTACCTCATATTTTTGAGATGATTCACATGTCATATCTTAGAAGTCAAATCTTTAGTTGCATTTCATGAGTGAATTGCATTAGAATTAGGTATAAAAGATCATGCATAGTTTTCTAATGTTGTTTTGTAGCTGTTTGCGGGACGTCGGTAAATATGTAAGTTTTTCATGCTTTAGCATCTCGCTTGTGTGTGTTTTGTTTGCGGTGTTTAAGTATTTTATCATATGGCTACTTGCTTACTTGATATAATTGTATGAATGCCGATGGATGAGGCTATGTCGCTTAATTTGGAATGATGTTGATTTTCATGATTGTAAACTCAATTTCTTTTAGTTGTACATCTTCAAAACTCTTTCAAAACATATGAAATCACGTTGTTCCAAAATGAATGGCATAGTCTATATTTGTATGCTTCACATAGTAACTTTTAATATTTATTTAATAATCAGAATATAAACATATAAAGTCAATAAAACTCATATCATTATTTAGTAGAGGCTGATCTTTAATCGGGTGAGCGGGGGTGCTCAATTAATAACCTTCCTATACCTAAGGTTCTGAGCGAAGCATCTTTGGTTACGAGGAATGGCGATCCTGATTCTTCCTCCTTTGATTGTTGTATCTGGATTTAGGTTCTGTGGAGTTGGTTGTTGTATATATCTTGTTGTCATCCTTTAATTCCATATGCTTGAGTTTTAGGATGTATTAGGCGTGTTTCGAACAGGTTGGTTGAGCTTTAGTCTCATTTCTTATTGCCCAGATTTTTGGTGGTCCGCTCGAGCGGGTCCCTTTGCGCTCGAGCGGAGTTTACACACTTTCAGCATTTTGTGCGTCTGCAAAAGTACCACAGGTTTGTTTTTCACATTCGAGCGGATTTCCTTACGCTCGAGCAGGCCTCTTTGCGCTCGAGTAGGTGTTCGAATTCTGTAAAAATACTAGAATAGTGAAATCTACGCTCGAGCGGGTTTCCCCTTTGCGCTCAAGCGGGTGTGTTTTGTAGTTGTGTCTTGGTGCTCGAGCTGGTATCCTTGCGCTCGAGCGGGTCCAGTTTTTGTGTTTGACGCTCGAGCGTCCTATTCTTCGCTCAAGTGGGTTAGTCGTATATCAGTTAGCAGCTGGGTGATTTTAAATCACTTTTTCATATCCCTCTCTCTCTCTTACTTTTCAAAACCCTATTTTGAGAGCTTCTCTCACTACCATATACCTTCTCTCTAAGGTTTGATCTAGCTTGAGTGATCTCTCACCTTTGTTCCTTTGTAAAAAGAGTAGAGCTTGGTGTGGGCTACCTATCAATCCGAAAATTTCTTGGTTTGGAGCATTTCGAGATTTCTTCATCATCTCTATTTGGTCTCATCTCTTGAGGTAGGGATAACTACTCATCTTTATGAGCTTTAACATGGATGTTGAGCTTGTTGAATAAATGGTTTGATTTGGGAAGTTAGGGTTTGAGGTGCGTTATATTGAAAAGAGGAGTTTTGTTCTTTTGACTCATACATATGTGTTTTGGGTTTGAAAAAGAGGTTATTGATGTTGTTGATAATATTTGGGCCTTTGGGTCAATATTGAGAAAATGGGGGAAAATGTCATGTTTGGGTATATTTGGGTCATTAGTGAAATTAATGACATTTATTATGGAAATATCAAATTGAGTTGGAAATAATGAAATTGGTTTATTATGAGAATGAATGGTGGTGTTGGAT